CTCAAACGAAGTGAAAGAGTGACTTGACAATTCGTCCCCAATATCCCCAGTCTCGTGGTCATTGTCCTACTTGACAGATCACTTTTATAATCCAGCCAGTGTGTCGTGGACCAACTGGCTCTGCTATCCATCACATCTCTCGAGTAGAGTTCTGCTTGGCACTCCCATGCATAATGCCAAATTTATTACTATCCCTTGCCCCAGTACCTAGTGCGCCAAACCCCAAAATGTGGTGACATTTACTAGGATTATCATTATTTATGAACAGACTACTCTTGAGTATCTCATTGGAAAGGTAGCCACCTATAGCCACCACCTTTCACTCCATGCTTATCGATACTTTGTGAAAATGCATGTGAATTCTACATAGTGTTTGATAATCTATCGTTTGTCTTCTTGAGCTTAAAGTACATGAATTTCGTCAATTTATATGTCGCCTCATGCTTAGTCAGCAAACCAGAAGTTAAAAATAAAAATAAGAGCTCAGATCTTATTGAGACAGGCTTCTTAGAATTTGTTGGCATATAATATGTGAATTTCGTTTTTTGTAAAAGGAAGGATAAACAACAGCTTTCAATCATTTCGTGCCTGGCTCAACTATTGGAATTTATTTACAAGCCGAACTTTCAGTTAATCTTATTAAATAATATTGTAACCAATCCTATGCTACCAATGAGTTTGAAGGTTACGCCACTTACAAGAAGACAAGGTCAGTTAAGCCACTTATCGCAAATTAGGTACAGAAGAGTCATTTTATTGCGGTCAACTGTGCAGTCTCATTTCGATGTATAGTGGTAGTTTGACCTTGCTTTGGCGACCTAGCCATATTGACGGGAAGACCTAGAGGAGTCCATAGTCTGCATGATATCGAGATTCGGACCGTCGACTTTGACCATTTGTTATTTAGTGCTGAGAATGGCAAGACTCACTGACGGTACCGGCGAAACGTCTGCGAATGTACCAAGTCCACGGTCCGACTGGGGAAATAAGCATGCATACTATAGACCCCGGACAAGCTGCGTTCCCCTAGGCCGTCCTGACAATACGACTAAGTTGCAAAAACAAGGTCAATCAACTACTTAAGACATTCTAGACTTAATGGATTTAGCAAAAGAAATGCAAAAATATAACAAAGTAAAACATGTAGCATAGTCAAGAAAACAGAAACTCATAGGTTAGAAAAATGGAAGTGGAGAAAAAAAAAATTCTCACCATCTGATTTAGAGCTTCTTCCCATCGTTTATCTGATTCGTTGGTTGCCATCGATTTAGACGTTGTTTGCTCGACTTCGTTGATTATGCCACTATCTGAAACGGAAACCTTAGAAGCCGTGGGCCCACTGGGGAGATCTTCAAAGTCAGAAAGATCCATTTCCCCAACTCTGATTGATGAAGAGTTGGATGCCAGTGACTTGATAGGTGAAGAAATAGAAAAAAAAGTAAGAATGAATTTATAAAATAGTTTTGCTATTTGAACGAAGGTGGAGCCCGCCAGCAAAGCAGGCTGGTATTGCACTTTCAATTTACGCATGGAGAAAAGGCTAATTAGGTAAAAAATTATCTCATCAATTATAATGGACTGGGATAATAAGATAAATGAAGAAGGACAACGCTAATTAAAAGATTCGAACTCAGTTACATTACACATTTAAGTAAGGGACCTTATGACGTGATTAGACATAGAAACGAAACTTTGATGCATGAATAAAAAGCCCGAATAATCTAAAGCTTCAAAATAGAAAGTATGAATTTGTGGCAGTATTGTACGACAACTCAGAACTGAATGAGAGTTATTTTAAATGTGATTTTCTCACAAAAT